ACTCACAGAGATCCTCTTACCTCAGCCTCCAGAGAGCTAGGACTACAGGCGTGCACCTACAGGTGTGCACTACCATGCTTGGATGTTTCTTTGTTTTTTCGCAGGGCTGGGGCTGGAACTTCATTTTTGTTTTGTTTTTGAGACAGGGTCTCACTATGCAGTTCAGGCTGGCCTTAAACTCACAGTGATCCTCCTGCCTCAGTCTCCCAAGTACTGGAACCCAGGTTCTTGTACATGTCAGGGAAGTGTTCTATCACTGAGCTATACTCACAGCCCCTGCTTTTATTTGTAAATATCAGTCTAGCTTGTTATTGTGAATCACTTGAGATGTTTGTGTTTTTTAAAAAATGTATAGATCCATCAAAAGTTGCAAAAAATGTGTAGGGTAGTCCTGGGTTTCCCTCAGTTTCCCTCAGTGGGTACATCTTACATAATTATAGTATAATATCAAAACCAAGGCCTGGAGATATATATAGCTCAAGGGTAGAGCATGTGGTTGGCATGTGCAAGGACCTGGTCTTCATCCCCAGCACCAGAAAAAAAAAATAAAGCCTGGATATAGTGGCACATGTCTATAATCTCAGCTCTCCAAGACTCTGAGGCATGCGGATTGCATGTGTCCTGTTTGTTCCTTTTTTGAGACAAGGTCTCCCTATGAAGTTCAAGCTGATGTCGAACTCACTATGTAGCCAAGGCTGGCTTTGAACGCTCAGCAATCCTCCTGCCTCAGTCTCCTGAGTGGTGGATTTCAAGTTTGAGCACAGCTTGGGAAACTTAGGAAGACCTCGCCTCAAAATAAAATATAAAAAGGGCTGAGGGTGTAAGTTAGTGGTAGCACACCCCTAGGTTCAATCCTCAGGACTGACAAAGCAAGATCACCCCAGGGAGTTGACAGGTTGTAAGTTTGCATACAGTTCTGGTATTTGGTCACATGCAATCAAGAAAGCCTGCTTTCTGCCTTCTTTCCATTGTGCTCATCAGGCTCCCAGCTGATGCTCCCAAGAGAGCATCAACAATTCCAAAAAGAGAGGCAAACACCAGCTCCTTGTTAGAACGTGCTCCGTCTGAGGTCATCAGCTGGATCCAGCTGTGGTGATGAAGCTTGGGCTATATCAGTGACCTTGGAATCATTGATCACTGAGCTGAGAAAATTGCTGGGAACATCTCAGGCAAGTAAAGGTGGTGTGATCAGCCCCAGAATCATAGAGATGGAAAACAGTGGTGAGGCCCAGGGTTTAGGGACTGTGGAGGGGCTGGCCTCATGGAGCACAAAGAGGTGGGACGAAATCACACAGGAGGAAAACTCTGGGGATTTTCTTCTAGGGATATAACCTAGACAACAGAGATATAAGGCAACCCAGCATCTCAAAGGTCTCCTTTTGCTACCCTTCTCTAGTCACACCCACACTCTCCATTCCACAGCCCCTAAATCCTGGACCTCCCCACTGTTTTCCCTCTCTGTAATTGTCATTTTTTTTTTTTTGGTACCAGGGATCGAACTCGGGTCCTTGCACTTTTGAGGGAGGTGGCGGAACCACTGAGCTAAATCCCTGGCCCTGTAATTGTCATTTTTAAGCCAGGTGTGGCAGTGCAGACCTGTAATCCCAGCTACTCAGAGGCAAGTTTGAGGCCATCCTGGGCAATTTAGTGACTTTCTGTTTCAAAATAAAAAATAAGGGCTGGAGATTTAGCGCAGTGGTTCTCCCACTTGCCTCAAAGGCGCAAGGTCCCGAGTTTGACCCCTGGTACCAAAGGAAAAATAAAATAAAATGGGCTGGGATGTAGCTCAGTGGTAGAGAACCCTAATTTCAATCTCCAGTAGTACCAAAAAAAAAAAAAATTCCAGGATGTTATATGAATGGAGTCCTATCTTTGGAGATTAGCTTTCTAAAAAGTTATTAATTGCTGGGGATTTGAGGTTCTGCTGCTTGCCTCCCAAGTACAGGGTCCCAAATTTGATCCCTGGTACAAAAAAAAAAAGACATCAAAAGTTATTGATTGATTGGACTGGGGTTGAACTCTAGGCCTTCTCACTGAGCTACATCTCCAGCAGCCCTTTCATGTTTTGAGATGAGGTCTTGCTAAAGCACTAAGTTGCCCAGGCTAGACTCAAACTTACAGTCCTCCTGCCTCAGCCTCCCAGAGTGCTGAGATTACAGGCACATGCCACCACGGCTGGCAAGATTAGGTTTTTTTCCTCAGCATGATGTCCTTGAGATCTGCTGTGGCTTGGATGTGGTTTGTCCCTGGAGTTTTATGTGTTGGACTCCTGGTCATCTGTGGTGGGGGGCCTTTGAGAGGTGGAGCCTAAGGTAAGGCATGAGAGCAAGTGGCCTGGACCAGAAGGATCCTGGGAGCCAGGCCCTCTCTGGCTTCTTGTTTGGCAATGTGATCTCTTCCTTCTGCATATTCTCTGCCACCCACCACAGGCCCTGTTAGAGCTTGCACTGTGCTGTCTGGACTTTCAACCTCTGAGAGCATGAGCTAAATGCACCTCTTTGTTTTGTAAAATTAGCCTTTTTCGGGTACATTATTATACTAATGCAAAACCGGCTAGTGTAAGAGCTAGCCAAGTTGCTGCCTACATTAATTGTTGGCTCCTTTCTGTGGCTGGGTAGTTCATGGTATACCTGTGTGTGAACCGTAGTTTATCTGTTGTAGGACATTTGGGATGTTTCCAGTTTGGGTTATTACAAATAAAGCTACTGTGAACATTCACACACAGATTTTTTTTTTTTTTTTGAGTCAGGATCTCACTATGTAATTCAGGCTGACCTTGAAGATCACTATGTACCCCAGCCTGGCCTCAAACACATGGCAATCCTCCTGCCTCAGCCTCCCAAGTGCTGGGATTACAGGTGTCATGCACAAGTTTGTTTGTTTGTTTTCCATTTCTGGGGATAGAACTCAGGACCTTTCGATTGGTGGGCAGATGTGACACCACTGAGCTAAATCCCCGGTCCTTACGCACAAGTTTTTATGGAGACATAAGTATTCATGTCTCTGGGATAAATACCCAGGAGTACAATGGCTAGGTCATATGGTCAGTGTGTGTTTAGTTTTTAAAGAAGCTGCTAGAGCCAGGCATGGTGAAATATGTCTGTAGCACCAGCTCCTCCGAAGGGTGTGGAGCCTGGATGACCATGATTCTGTCAAAGAAAGAGACAGAGAAGGAAAGAAAGAAAAAAGAAAGAAAGAAAGGAAGGAAGGAAGGAGGGAAGGAAGGAGGGAAGGAAGGAAAGAAGAAAGAAAGAAAGACACACTATTTTCTTTTTTGGTACCAGGGATAGAACTCATGACCTTGAGCTTTTGAGGCAGGTGGCAGCACCACTGAGCTCAATCCCCGACCCACTCCCAAACTATTTTCCAAGGCAGCTGTGCCGTTTTATATTCCTATCACCCAGTTTCTTCACATCCTCATTACTAATTAGTATTGCTTTTATTTTTGACTCTTCTGATAGGTGTGTGGTGATATCTCTTCAAGGACATTCAGTGCAGTTTCTTTTCTTATCTTCCCATTATAATTAGATTGTTTGGGAGTTTTTGTGGTTGTTTTGAGGAGGGAGTTGAGACAGGGTCTTGCTATGTAGTCTATAGTGGCCTCACTATATAGCCGGGGCTGGCATGAAATTCACAGTGATCCTCCTGCCTCAGTCTCCTCAGTCCTATGATTAGAGGCATACATACCATGTCTAGCTGGATTTGGTTTTTTAATGTTGCCTTTTTGTTTTTTGGTGGTAGTGGAACTGGGGATTGAATTTAGGGCCTCCACTACTGAGCTGCATCACAACCCCTGCCCCCCATTTCTTTGAGGCAGAGTCTTGCTAAATTGTTAAGTTGCCCGAGTTGGATTCAAATTTGTGATCCTCTTGCCTCAGCTTCCCAAGTAGCCAGAATTATGGTGTGCACCACTGCACACAGATGGTACTTGGTATTTGGGAGCGATTTGAAGAATCCAGTTGGGAAAGAGGTGAACTAGAAAGAGAGCTGTATAGATGGATAGAAGGAGTCCCCAGCAGGCAGTAGATGAGTCTGGGGGAGGGGTCTGCTCAAGCCAGGAGCTCTGTATCCTTGGACCCGGATAACAGGAATCAGAAATATTCTGGGGCTGGGATGTAGCTCAGTGGTAGAGCTCTGGCCTAGCATGTGCAAGGGCCTGGGTTCCATCCCCAGCACCACAAGGAAATAAACAGATAAAGTATACAGGAGGATAGAACTGTATAGGTTACATACAAATATCACACCATTTTCTATCAGGGACTTCAGCATCTGAGTTTAGTACCCTAGGGGCGTTGAGGGGCAACCTGAGAGGGGTGATTGTTTTTCTGTTTGTTTTCGTTGTACTCATTGTATTATTATTATTATTATTTTATTATTATTATTATTATTATTATTATATTATTTTGGTACCGGGTATTGAACTCAGGACCTTACACTTTCAAAGAGGGCAGCAGAACCACTGAGCTAAATCCCCGGCCCTGTATTTTAAACTCACCCCAGGTGAAGGGAATGCAAGCCTGCTGTGGTTCCAAAGGGAAGGTGCCGAATCCAGGCCCAGCTATAGAAAAAGCTCACAGCCTCTCCTGTCACCTGTAACTACACAACCCCAAAAGGTACCAGAACTCAGGAAGAACCAGTTGGAAGACAAAATCAGCAGCCCCTGAGAGAGTGAAGCCTCGCCTGAGTGGGACGCCCACCATGTGTGGTAGCTCCCTCAACGATGTCTCCGAGGCTTAGGACCCTGTGGGGACGACTCAGCCCTGGATCGGGCAGTCTCTGCGGTGCCATGCTGGTGCCGGCTCCCCTGCAAAGGGATGGAGACTGCCCAGCCCTTAGGAAACCTGAGCCCCTGGCCCGAAGTCCACACCTCCCCCAGCCCTGTAGCTCCTCCTCCACCTGGTGCCTTCCTCTGGGGCCGCTCTAGGCCCGCAGGCCTCCACCACCCTGCCATTGCCTTACTCTACCCCTAAGGTCGGGTGGGGACAGGCTGGGGCTGCCCGTCAGCTCCATGGACAGGGACCCAGCCTCTGCTCCCCTATCAACTTTGCAAAGAGAAGAAGAAAGGTTGGAGTTGATTTGCACTTGGGGGATCCTTCCCCCTCCTACACTTCTGATTCCACCTTTGACTGACTGTAGAAGGTACAGAAGGAAGCCAGAACATTTCCCCAGGTATGTATGAATCCTTCACTGCTGATGTGTGAGTGTGCTATCTCCCACTGGTCAGATGGGGACTTGTCCTTTATGATCTCCTGGGTCCCTTCTGACAGCTACATTCTATGATTCTGCAACTATAATTTCATTCAGTCATTTGACAAACATTTGTGCCAGGAACTACTATTAAATAAGATCTGTGTCCTGCCCTGGAGGGTCCACAGTCTAGATAGGAGAAACAGTCATAATAACAGCTGCCACACTTACTGCGGCACTCTGGGCTCAACCGTTTGTAAACGTTAGTTCTACCTGTAAAGAGACCCCAGGGCGACTCGTCACTTATGAAGGGTGGAGAAGGAATGCAAGGGGTTTTGAGAGCCACAGTGACCTAAAACAGGGATGGACAAACACTCCACTTGGCCAGCACCCCCAGGGTAGGAGGCACAAGAGGCTGGAGAGGTCAGTTTGAGGCTGGTGGGCGTGGCCAGCTTCACTAGGGCCTAAGGGATCTCTGGGGTCAGTGGAGATTTGAAGTCCATGGAGGTGGGGCTCAGGGCCTTTCTCCCTCACTCCTGGCCTGAGTATCGGGGGACAGAGCAGGGGCGCCTGAGGATTCCTGGCAGGGTCTCTGGGCGCTGTCTGTCCCCATGCCCGCTGCCAGGGTGGGGACTGACCTGGCCTGGGGAGGAGGGACAGCGTCCCTGCAGCCCGAGAGGAGGAAAATGCCTAGGAAGCTATGTGTCCCACACACAGCAAAGACCGGCCTGTGGATGTCCTCCTCCTCACAGCTCTCAGCTCCTGTCTCCCAGCTGTCCCCAGTCCAGGCAAGGGAGGACAAAAGCTGATTATTCCACTGGGGGCCATCCTGGGCCCCATGAATGGGGTATTGAAAACCTTGTGTCCACATCCAGATACATTTTCACCTGCTGCCTAAGGAGACTATGTGCCAGGCTGGAGAGAAGCCAGGGGCAGACGGGGCCATGGGGTTGAGAGTCCTTTGAGAGGGGCAGCTTTTCCCAGGCACCTAACTCTTGAGAGACCCCAAAGAATCGTCCTCCCCCCACCTCCTCCTGCAGTGCCCAGCGAGGTGGCCAGGGAATGGCTGGATGCTCCTCCACCCCAAGCCCACGGGAGCTATGGAAACCGGGCCCTGCCAACTCCGCCCCCAGCTATCTTTTCCATCTCTCCTTCCTCTCTGCCCCTCATTATCTGGAGTCCTGAGAACCTCATCAGCCTCTGAAGCAGCCTCCATCTGTCCCCAACCAACCAATCCATCATCTGCAAGCCCAGTGTCACATTCTTGCTAAAGTCTGCAAGAAAGGGGACATGCAGGGTTCTGGGGTGCCCGTTACATGGCGCGAATGTTCACTGAACTCTGCACTTAGGATTTATGCACTTTTTTGCTTTCATACCATAATTCAAAAATTATTTTAAGAAATCTTGGGGTCGGGTGTGGCGGTGCACATCTTGTGATCCCAGCATTCTAGGAGGCTGAGGCAGGAGGATTGCCATGAATTTGAGGCCAGCCCCAGGCTACACAGCAAAACACCATCTCAAAAAACAAACAAATAAACAAAAAAACTCAAAAATTTCCTCAATATTTTTTCTTTACATTGACTCACCTCTTCTAATTTAAATACATTTTAAAAGGAAACTTTATATTGTTCCAATAAATTAAAAACCAGAGCCGGGGATTTGGCTCAGTGGTTTCGCCGCCTGCTGCGCAAGTGCAAGGACCCGAGTTCGATCCCCGGTACCAAAAAAAAAAAAAAAAATGTAAAAATGAAAACTTTTGGCCGGGGATTTAGCTCAGTGGTTCCGGCGCCTGCTTCGCAAGCGCAAGGTCCCGAGTTTGATCCCCGGTACCAAAAAAACCCCCAAAAAACCAGAGTGCTTTGTCATAAATAGAAAGCACAGCAAAAAAAAAAAATCCATGACAATAAAATAAATGTATAGCTATAAGCCCCTAAGATTAAGTGGGTTAAGTAAGTGCCACTCGTTCGTGGCACCAACCACACTACAGGACAGCATCTTGGAGGATTGGCTCTGAGCCCTGGGGACTGTCACAGCTGGCCACAGGCATCCTGGCCAAGCTCACCTCCCACCCCTTGGGTCCTTCGAACCTGTGGCTCCAGCCAAACCTAACTCCTCATTAGTTTCCGTGCACAGCCCCGTCTTTCTCTCCTCTCCCAGCTGTTCCCACTGGCCTTGCTTCCACTAGGAATGTCAAAGCCAAGTGGCAATGACATGTACCCCTGAAGCTGGCACCTCCAGCTGACAGCACACACTGCAATCTTGAATTCCAGATGTTCCAGCTGTGACTTTACCCGACCCCTTAATGGGACCATCTGAGAGGCCATCCGCTGGCTGGGTACACAAGGAAGCAGAGATGCGAATCAGAATCCTCGGTTCCCAGCCGGATGAGATGAGCAGGGGGTGGAGGCTTGGGGATGGGGGTGCTGCCCATACGCCCCTGCCCCCAGCCCTGTCTTTCCTCCTCCTCCTGCCTCTGGGTGAGTGTCTCAATCTTTTCCTGGCTGTTTTCTCACCAACAAATCACAGTGGGAGGTGGGTTGTGAATGAGCTGGACTCCAGGTTTCTTTTTACTTTTTTTTTTGATGCCCGGGATCGAACTAGGGACCTTGTGCTTGCAAGGCAGGCACTGACTGAGCTAAATCCCCTACCCCTTCTTTTTACTCTTATATGGTCAATGATAATAAGAGCCTGAGTTTAGGGAACAGACAGCTCAGTACTGAAGGTGAGAGCTAAATGTACCCTGAGAGTGGGCAGTCAGAGGACACCAGAAATAGAGGAGGGAAGGGGTGAGCTCTCCAATGGCTGCTGGGAAGGCAGCTGGTAGAACTGATGAAATCGAATGACCTACAGACTATCCTAATTTAAGAAAAAAGACTGGACCAAGAATTTAGCTCAGTGGTGCTCCACTTGCCTTGAAAGCACAAGGTCCTGAGTTTGATCCCCAGTACCACAAAAAAGGAAAAAAGTCTGGTATGGTATGGCACGAGCCTGTAATCCCAGCACTGAAGGTGGCTGAGGCAGGAGGATGGCAAGCTCAAGTTCCACCAGGGCAATTTAGCAAAACTTGTGACAAAAAATAAAAAGGGCTGGAGATGTAGCTCAGTGGTAGAGAGTGGTAGCCCTAGGTTCAACCCTTAGTACCACCAAAAAAAAAAAAAAGAAAAAGAAGTAAGAAGAGGACTGGAAGCCAGGCATGGTGATGCACACCTATAATCCCAGCACTGAGGGAGGCTGAGCCAGAAGGATTGCTGGCAGTTTGAGACCAGTCTGGGCTATACAGTGAGGTCAAGGCCAACCTGGAATACACAGTAAGAAGACCCTGTCTCAAAACAAAAAGGGGTTGGTGGTATGGCTCACAGTAGAGAACTTGCTGATCAGAAGACACTAAAAGGCTTTGGGGAGAAAGCTCAGCTGCTGGGACTCAGCAGGTAATGGGAACCTAAGGGATTTAGTAGTAGAAAAAGACAGGCACGTCTGCAGGTCTGTGTCTCAGACAGATTTTATTTTTGGTCCAGACAATTGAACCCTAGGCCTCTGTATTATATTCCCCAACCCTGTCAATTTGCAATCCTCCTGCCTCAGCCTGTTAGAGTGCTGGGATTATAGGCACATGCCACTGTGCCCAGATCTTACAGATCTCCCCTGGGCAGCCTGTGGACCCCTTTGGGAGAGGATGGTGAGGTCAGGAGGCTGAGCCTAACAGTCCCAGAAAGCACTGGTGGACTTTGGAAAGACAGGAGGCCAGGGGGTGAGGGTGATAGCAAGGACCATGGAGGAGGGGAGGCTGTGTTCCCAGGACCTGGCAGCCAAAGGATGGGCAGAGGGGCCCATGCTCTTCCTCACTCTGTTTCAGCAAGCGCCCTTCAGCCCACTCTGCTGCCCTTGCCAGGTAGGTGCCCGCTCCTCCCTCCCGTACCCTCCTCTGGCAGCTGAGACCTTAGGGAGTAAGGACTAAGCAGCCCTTGTGACCCCGACATCCTCCCTCCAAAGCACCACCACAGTCTGCCCATGTCACAGAAGGGACTGATCCCAAGGCTCCCAAGCATCCTGTGGGTGGGCATAGGGACCCCTCGTGCCAACTCAACCCTCTTTGCAGAGTTGAGGCTGGTGGGGGGCCTGAGTCGCTGCCGCGGGCGCCTGGAGGTCCTACACGGTGGCTCCTGGGGCAGTGTCTGTGATGACGACTGGGATGTGGTGGATGCCAATGTGGTGTGTCGTCAGCTGGGCTGTGGCCTGGCGCTACCTGTGCCGAGACCCCTTGCCTTTGGCCAGGGCAGGGGCCCCATCCTGCTGGACAACGTGGAATGCCTCGGGCAGGAGGCTGCACTGAGCGAGTGTGGCAGCCGGGGCTGGGGCATCCACAACTGCTTCCACTACGAGGATGTGGCTGTCCTGTGTGACGGTGAGCAGAGGCCTGGGGCCCTGGAGGACAGTAGATGGTAACAGGCAGCAGGGTCGTAGGGACTTCCCAGGGCCCGGCTATTCCATGCAGACTGAGGCAGCAGCTGCACCGCCTTATGCTGAGGAAGAGGCTTTGACCCTTTGTGTGGCTGGAGGCCATGAGCCAGGCACCCACTTTGTGCGTGTGAGGATGGAGAATAGAAAGATCCCGGATTCCTTTTTTCCACCCTGCTTCCTGCCCCAGAATTCTTGCCCACCCAGCTGCCAACAAGGAGGATGTTAACCAGCAGAGCGCCCCCTACCACTCCTCAGAATGGGAAAGGTAAGTAAGGGGAATGGGGGACAATGAGGGAGATCCCCGGGGTCTGAGGAATCTCGAACTCTACCCTAGGCAGTGGAAAACAGGGATTACAAACTGAAGGCTAAGAGACATGGAGCAATATTGGGGAAGGGGTGGAGGTAATGGCAGAGTCAGGTGTGCCCAAGAATGATGACTGTCTCCCCATCATCATGCTGGTGCACACCTTTAATCCCAGCACTATGGGAGACTGAGGCAGGAGGATCATACGATTCCAATCCAGCCTGGGCAATTTAATGACCCTTTCTCAAAATAAAATTTAATAAAGGGCTGTGGGAGTAGCTGGATGTTAGAGCACTTAACTAGCATGCACAAAGCCCTGGGTTCAATGCCCCGGGGTGGGGTGGGGGGGTACAGAAGTAGAAGAGGGTCAGGAGATCAGGCAGGGCTGCAGGAGGAAGAGTTGTGGGGGCTGCATCTTGAAAGGTGAGATTTTCTTCGGGCAGTAGTAAATAAGGAAGCAGCACATCCCAGCCTTCCATGAGAGCAGGGACAAGGGAAGTGAGGACTGGTTTTAGGTGAGGCTGACATAATCAGAGCTGGCTGTCCCATGCATCCACCAGCCACTCCCTCTAGGCTGGGAGGAGGCAGCGCCCCTGGGGTTTGGGGACCTGAAGCACATGGCACTGTGGATGGGAGGCCTGGTGCAGGGATTGCAAGGCAGGGCCCTTCGGGAGATGGTCCCTGTCCCCTCCCCTGTCACAGGCGAGGGCAGCGTGCGCCTGGTGGGAGGCGCAGGTCCGTGTCAGGGCCGAGTGGAGATCCTGCACGGCGGCCTGTGGGGCACGGTGTGCGACGATGACTGGGGGCTGCCGGATGCCGCCGTGGTCTGCCGCCAGCTGGGCTGTGGGGCGGCCTTGGCCGCCACCACCAACGCCTTCTTTGGCTATGGCACGGGGCACATCCTGCTGGACAACGTGCACTGCGAAGGCGGCGAGCCCCGTCTGGCAGCCTGTCTGAGCCTGGGGTGGGGCGTGCACAACTGCGGACACCACGAGGATGCGGGCGCGCTCTGCGCAGGTATGGCCCCGGGGGCGTGGTCGCAGGGATGGGGCGGGGCGGGGCGGGGCAGCACCGTGGGGTCTTGGTGGGGAAGCTACCTTTATGCTTACCAAAGCTCACCAGGGTGGCTCCAAAATGACGTGCATTGTCTCAGTTATGCTATAAAAGGTGCCTCACAATATCCCAGAACTGCGTGACACTACACCTGTTACAATACTGCAGCATTGCTCCACTAAGAAAGCTTCCACAATTTTCTAGCAATTTCCAAGAATTCTTCATGGAATACTTCAGGAAAAAATCTCAAGACTCTGAATGGCCCCAGAGTCACTTCAGAGTCGCCTAGCACATACTAGTATTCTCTTCCCACCTGGGCTTTCTCCAAATTGGGAAGGGTTCTCAGCAAAAGGGAACACTAGGGGCAATAAAGCCATTTCACAAAGGACTCCGTTCTACAAGATGAACAAACCAAGGGCTCTCATCTCCATTTGTAGGTGGGAAAGTTGAGGCCCAGCGAGCCAAAGCCTTACCCATCCTCACATCCTGAGCCTGGCAGACCCACAGACTGACCTTGCTCTGGGCCTTGAGCATCCCCCTGCCCTCCTCAGCCCTATTTTAGCTGGAATATGGGGATGAGACCTGTTATCCAAGGGCTTGGCCCTGCCTGGTTTGTGAGGGCTTCTACATCTGCGCGTCCTGGGCACATTGGGCTTCTGAGAATACTGGACACTGGAGGAAATGACAGCAAGTCTGTGAAAGCCCTGTGTAAGCCGGGAAGTGTAGATTGTACCTTTACAAACACAATTATTACTTAGATCCGAGCTGGGGCTGAGGGCTGCACCCAGAAGTAAAATCTAGTGTCTTCCGGGAAACCCTCCTCTCCTTTGCCATAGTCAGGCTGACTGGAAAGCTGCACCTCAGCCTCTGACCCTGCTCTCTTCTCTCCAGCTCTAGTCCTGGGCCCCCCCACTCTCACAGCACTGCCACCCTCGGCCACAAGAGAGGACGGGTCCTGGCACACAGAGCCAGCAGGTGATGAGCCCGCCCTCCAGGCTGGAATGGCAAGGGTGAGGTGGGTGGGCTAGGAAGGGGAGGCTGTTCTAGTTTCACAGGAAGGGACCCCCAACAGGACAGGGCTTTAGACCAGATAGTAAAGAGGTGGGTAAGAGAACAGATGAGCAGATGGAACAGGAATGGAACCCAGAGCTCTAAAAAGTTCAGGGGAATGGGAGGAGGTATAAAAGGTTTCTTCAAGGGCCAGGGATTTAGCTCAGTGGTTCTGGCGCCTGCCTCACAAGTGCAAAGTCCCAAGTTTGATCTCTGGTACCAAAAAATAAAAATAAAATAAAAGATTTCTTCAAAGTGCTCAAGTCAAATTTGGGACTTATGCTGGGATTGGGAATTGAGAGGCCCTGTGAGGGGGTTGAGATGAGGGATGAATCGAGGTTAGAAGTGTGGAGTTAAGGCTGGAGCTATCATTGAGATTAAAATCAAGGTAACAGCTAGTGTGGTACTGCAGACCTGTAATCCCAGCACTAGAGAGGCAGAGACTGGAAGATCGCTTCGAGTTCAAAGCCAGCCTGGTCACTTCAAGGCCAGCCTGAACTGCATAGTGAGACCCTATCTCAAAAATAAAATAAAGATAACGGTTGGGTGAGGAGGCACGTGACTGTACTTCCAGCACTCCAGGAGGCAGAGGAGGAAGTATTGAAAGTTTGAGCCAGGTTGAGTTCGGGTAATTTAGTGACTTAGTGACACTAAGAAGGTGTCGATCAGTGTGAAGGCCCTGGATTCAACCCCCAGGACTCAATAAATAGGGATAAATGCCTGGAGTTAGGAGGATTCGGTTCATGGGTTCCATGTGACATGCCAGGTAACTTGATGACTCTAGGATGAAAGCTGGGAGTACAGGTGGGGGTATCTCAGTAGGGGTCGCCCAGTCCTGCTGTAGGAGTGTAAACCTCCTTGGCCCTTTCGAAGGCTCCAGCTGCCCTCCCTGTCTCTGCAGCTACAGGAGTTGGTGCTCAGCCTTCCGGGGAGACGGCACAGTTCACCACAGCGGCCTGGGCCGCGGGTAAGAAAAGTAAGTGGCAGAGCCAGGGTCCAGCGTGGGGTGGGAGCGGGTGGGGCCGGGGCTCTGCCAGGGAACCGGCCACCCCAGCCCAGCCCCTCTGGCCGCGGGCCTGTGCGCCCCGCAGGCGGACGGCTGCGGCTGGTGGGCAGCCCGGGCCCATGCCGCGGCCGCGTGGAGGTGCTGTACGCCGGGGGTTGGGGCACCGTGTGCGACGATGACTGGGACTTCGCGGACGCGCGCGTGGCCTGCCGCGAGGCAGGATGCGGACCTGCGCTGGGAGCAACAGGCCTCGGCCACTTCGGCTACGGCCGCGGCCCCATACTGCTGGACAACGTGGGCTGTGTGGGTACCGAGGCCCGCCTGAGCGACTGCTTCCACCTGGGGTGGGGCCAGCACAATTGCGGCCACCATGAGGACGCTGGAGCATTGTGCGCAGGTGAGGAGGCACTGAAGATCAGTTCTACGAGCGGGCTGGGCGGGGCAAGATTACATCATCACGCACAGCGGGGGGGCGTAGGCGGGGCCTGCCTGGGCACGCAGCTCGGCGAGGGCGGGTTAGGACCCGAGGAGGAGGTGGGGCTGCACGTAGCCTGTACTGCTGCACTGCCTCAACAGCTGTCCGCAGAGATGGGCAGCCCCGCCTCCTGAGTGTTCTGCGGCTGCTCGGCACTGGGGTGGGACCGGAAGCCCGCCCTCTGCAGTGGGAGAGTAGGGCGGGTTGGCGGGGGGGCGCGGCTATGGCAAGGCCTGGTTCGAGTCTGCGAAGGGAGGGACCTCTTGCCACCTGCTGGGTCAAAGATCTGCAGAGCTGTAGTAGGAGGGCGGCTGGGAGAGTTAATCTGTCTTTACAGCACCAGCCTGTGACCTGTGGGAGGAGTCGATGCAAAAAGGGTGTTTGCAGAGTCTGGCAGGACTTTGTAAAATGCTTCTGTTCATTGATTGCTACAGGAATTGCTATATCCACCCTCATCTGCTGCCCAGGCCTAGTGGGCGCTCTTTACCCTCCCGAAAGAATTGGCCACGATGGGCTAGGCCACAGGGCTTCTGTCTTGGGCCCTAGGGTCAAATTAACACAACTTTTTATTTATTTTTTGGTACCATGGATTGAACCTAGGGTCTTCGCAGTGAGCTACATCCTCGGCCCTGTTTTCATTTTAATTTTTTATTTTGAGACGGTGTCTCACTAAGTTCTGAGTTGCTCAGGCAGGGCTCAAATTTGGGATCCTCTTGGGTCAGCCTCCCAGTGTGCTGGGATTGCAGGTGTGCGCCACTACACCCTGCTCACCTCCTTTTTTTTTTGTACCTGGGATTGAACTCAGGTCCTTTCGGTTTGGAGGCAGGCGGTGGAACCACTGAGCTAAATCCCTGGCACCACAATCTCCCTTTTTGATCCAAGGAACAGGGAGCATTTCTTCAGGAACCTCTGAAATCCTTTCTGTCTGTCCCTAGAAATACTTCCCTGGGGAGGGAAGGAGGTGACTTGGCCCTAAGGAGCATGTTCCCCAGTGTGACAGAAATCTTTTTTTTTTTTTTCTCTGTCCTTCCTGAGCAAGGCCCAGAGGAGCTGGGATCGCAAGTCCACCAGGACGGTTCTGAGACCACCCGGGTGCCCACTCCTCGGCCCAGGGATGGTAGGTGCTCATAGCTGTCTGAAAATGAGGTGGAGACACCAGGATGGGACAGAGCCGGATTGAGGGAGGTCACAGCCTAGGATACAGCAGCTCGGCAGATTTGATCAGGTCCTGGAACCTTGTCCTTCATGCTGGTTTCAGGCCTCATTAATAGAAATAGGGTGTCCAGAAAGAAGGAGCTAAGTTTTAAACTAGGGCAATCTAGAAATTTCTAGAGTTGAGATCAAAATTAGGGCAGGGGGAGCCTGTCTTGAGGGAAGCAAAGAAAGAATCCAGAATTTAGCTCAGGGAATGAAGGGAATGAAGGGGAGACTATGATGACCTTAGGAAGAGATGATAGGACATAACAGTCTCCAAAGAACTGGCCTGGGGCTGGGGTACTGGGATTAGGAGCAAGGACTAGGGGGAGAGCAGAATGAAGTACCCAGCACACCAACCACTCAGCACTTTTGCACATTTTTTTCCAGCCCACAGTTTCTGGGTCTGAACTGCTACCCATCTTTATTTATTTGGTACTTTGAGACAGAGTCTCTTGATGAAGTTCAGGCTGGCCTCAAATGCATTGTGATTCTCCTGCCTCAGCCTCTTGAATGCTGGGATCACAGGCGTGTGCCATCATTCCTGGCTGTAGATGCCCATTCTAATGTAATCTCCTTTGAACTCATGGGGGGCTCTAGGGCAATGCGGTGTCTCTCAGGGCTACTCTTCACCTCCTCTATCCTAGCGGGGGGTGGGGGGGTGGCCTGACATGAGGAGCCCATTCTAACCCCAGGCTTGCCCCACTCCCAGGGCACCTACGTCTGGCCAGTGGAGCTCACCGATGCCAGGGTCGAGTGGAGCTCTTCCTAGGGCAGCGGTGGGGCACCATTTGTGATGATGCCTGGGACCTTCGAGCGGCTCGTGTCCTGTGCCGCCAGCTGGGCTGTGGCCAGGCCCTGGCAGCCCCTGGCGAGGCCCACTTTGGCCCAGGCCGAGGCCCCATCCTCCTGGATAACGTCAAGTGCCATGGGGATGAGAGCACCCTGCTGCTCTGCTCCCACATCCGCTGGGATGCCCACAACTGTGACCACAGCGAGGACGCGAGCGTCCTGTGCCAGCTGTCATGACCCTGCTGGCTCTGCAGACCACCTCTTCTTTGAGAAGCCTAGTTGTCACCTGGTCCTCCTCCTCCAGGAAGCCTTCCTCCTGTGAGTTTTGCAGTTCAAGCAGCCTTGCCTTCCCAGTGTCTGGGAGAGAGGCTGCCCAGGCAGAGTGGTCCTGCATGGGGACCTGTACCCATCAACTTTATTATGTGACCTCAGCCTTTTGTCAGCTATTGTGGGCCCTGAACAATGAACACGCCCATGCAGCCGAGATGGAAAATAGAGGGGGATGACCCTTAACTCTTCTCTTCCTGGGAGCTCCTATTCCAGTACTCCTGACCCTACCTACCTGGATCCCGATCTGGGTGGCTTAGCAGCTCTCTAAATGGAGTTCTCCCTTTCTCCTCACCTCTCTTGGGAGCCACAAGAAGAGGTAGGCAGGAGGGTCATGCAGCCCTTTCCTTAGACTCTCAGGGGCTGCCGAAGAACCAGGGTTGTTGCTTTGTCCTACCCCATAAGGGGCTGGACTCAGATGGTGCTCGGCTGGACAAGGGGGCTGGAGGGACCGAAGCAGGGACTGTGGTCCCTCTCTGTATCTGGAACCAGCATCTGACTTCTGCTCCCCTGCCACAGGGCCTCCACTTTTCGATGGCAAAGAAACCTGGGGCCTGTAGCCACCCATTCATAGGTGCCAAGTCAATAAAGCATTGTCCCCCATCTTTTAACTGAGCTCACTGTTATACCAGCAGTGCATTACTTGTGGCAGGACTCTGGAGGAAACCAGTGTGGCGACAGAGGGCAGCCGCCCAAGAGCATCCTCCAGAGCTCCTGAAGGGCCGTCACATCCCGGAAACGCTGACTCACTGTGGCAGTCCACCAGGGCTCCCGAGAAGCCCCTGGGCCAGCTCCTCGCCTCTCGTCTTTTCCATATGCAGACGTTGAGATCCAGCGAAAGGAAGGGGTTTGCTCAAGGTCACCTAGCAAGGTACTGGAGTCACTGGAAGAGACAAAATTCTTGAGAGGACACAGGAAGGCAGATGGGAAACAAAGGTGCTGGGGGACAGGCGGATCCTGCCAGAGCTGCTCTCTTCGCCTCAGGCTGGGTGACTTGCCAATGTCATCTGCCCTGTCAGGTGTCAAGTCCTCAAGGCCCTGTCCTTCAGGTCCAGCCTGCAGGCTCTTGCTGCTGTAACAAATGACCACACAAATTTGCTGTCTTACAGTTCTCGTTTGACATGGTCTCCCTGGGCGGAATTCAAAGTGTTGGCAGTCAGTGGCCTTTCTGGATGCTTAAGGGGAGATTACTTCCTGCTTCCCCACTTGTAGAAGCAACCTTTATTCTTTTTCTTTTTTTTTGGTACCAGGGATCAAACTCAGGTCCTTGCACTTGCGCAGCAGGTGGCAAAACCACTGAGCTAAATCCCCGGCCCAGCAACCTTTATTCTCTTATAGCTTATGACCTGTAGCCAGGAATCACATCTCTCTTACCTCTGTTTCCAGCAACTTACCTCTTCTTTGACTGTCTCCTTCTTCCTCTTTTTTTTTCTTTTTCCTGAGGTGCTAGGGATTAAACCCAAGGTTTTTGTACTGAGCTACATATCTCCAAACCACTTTTATTTTTATTTTTTTATTTTTTTATTATTATTTTTTGGTACTGGGGATTGAACTTGGGTCCTTAACCACTTTTAAATTTAATTAACTTTGGGCTGAGGATTTAGCTCAGTGGTTCTGGCACCTGCCTTGCAAACAAGCACAAGGTTCTGAGTTCAATCCCCAGTACCAATAAAAAAAATTTAATTTTAAGACAGGCTCTTGCTAAATTGCCAGGGCCAGGCTCAAACTTGCAGTCTTTCTGCCTCAGCCTCCCAGAGTACTGGAATTACAGGCATGCACAACCAGGCCCAGTTAACCCCAGCTGGATAATCTAGAATTGCCTGCCCCCCACCACCCTTTTTTTGGTGGTGGGGGTATGGGGATTGAACTCGGGAACTTGCGATTGCTAGGCAGGCAGCAGCACCACTGAGCTAAATCCCTGGCCCTCCCTTTTTCAAGGTTCTTCATTTAACCCTATCTCCAAAATCCCTTTATCCATATAAAGTAAATTGTTCACAGGCCCCTGGGATTGCAATGTGGACATTGTGTAGCCATTATTTGTCCTTTCACCAGATCAACCAAAGAGGGAGGTGGACACTTTGGCGTCAAATTCTATCACCTTCTGACAGGAATGGCTTTGTCTCCATTCACCATGGAGCTCTCTGAGACCCACTGTGTCACTGAGGGACAGGAACGTGAGGGATGAAAGATGGGAAAATGCCTCTGTCCCTATCTAAGCAAAGTCCTTTCGCCAACATTCATGATCCTTGAAGCAGCCCTATGGAGGAAGTACTGCATTATTGTTCCATTTTACAGACTGGGAAAGCTGAGGCTGAAGGAAGAGAAATGATTTGTCTAAATCTGCATGGTGGAGCCATAAATGGAGAGGATCCTGGGGCCCTTTTTCAAATTTGTTTGTTTTTGTGCTACTGAGGATTGACTCTAGTGCCTTTGCACTAACCTACATTCCCAGCCCTTTTTTACTTTTTTCTTTTTTTTTTTGGTACTGGGATCGAACTTGGGTCCTTGCGCTTACACAGCAGATGGTGAAACCACTGAGCTAAATCCCCGGCCTACTTTTTTACTTTGAGACAAGGTCTCACTAAGTTGCTGAATTTCCCAGGCTGGCCTCAAATTAGCGATCCTCCTCCCTCAGCCTCCTAGAGTGCTGGGATCACAGATGGGCACCACCACACCCAGCTCTGATGCTCATTAATAGTGGTTACCAGCATTAAATGTTCTCTCCCTTCCTGGCACAGGGTAGATTTGCATTTCCATATTTTGTTGTGGTGGCAGTGCTGGGTATGAGCCCTAGGCCTCAGGTAAGGTAGGCAAGAGCTCCACCCCTGCCCCTACTCACTGTTTCATTTAGCACACTTTGGTGCTCTCTCTGTCAGGGCCACCTGGCCTTGAAGTACATGGAGAAGTAAAATAGGGCTTTACCAAGTGTGGTAGTGCACACCTGTAATCCCAGTACTCTGAGTGGCTGAGGCAGGAGGATCACAAGTTTGAGCCCAGTCTGGACAGCTTAGTAATTTAGTGAGACCCTGTCTCAAAATAAAAAATGGACTGGAAAAAAAAAAAAAAGAACTGGGCAGGTAGCTCACTGCAAAGGCCCTCGGTTCAACCTCCAGTACTGCAGAACAACAAAAAGCTGAGCATGGTGGTGCATGCCTGTAACCCCAGCACTTGGGAGGCTGAGGCAGGAGGATCTCCAAGAGTTCCAAGCCTGCCTGGGCTACATAGTGAGGCCCTATTTCAAAAAACCAAAAACCAAAACCAAACCAAAACACAGGGCTTTTCTGGACCAGGGGCCCCAGGCTGTGGTAGGGAGCGTCTCCTGGGAAAAGATTTGTCTCCTTGGGGAGACAGAGGTCAAATACTTGCCTTTCCACAGGATCATTAACATATGAGGTATGATTAAAAAAAAAAATACAGCAGGGCCAGGGATTTAGCTCAGTGGTTCTGGCCCCTGCCTCGAAAGCTGAGGACCCGAGTTCGATCCCTGGTACCAAAAAAAAAAAAAAAAAATACAGCAGATGTTTCCATTTAAAAATTTTACATTTAGTTGAGCAGGTGTGGCCATCTTGATGTCCTGAATGGATTCAAAATCATTTATGGTTATTTTGATTTGGGGGAAGAGCCAGAAGTCACCCATACCAGATCCAGTGGGTTAAGATGAGGATGTTTTTCCCAGCCTGCCTTTCTGTTGGACGGCGCTTGGCAGCAGCAGTCACTGTATTTTGATCACACCTTGTAAAGACACTCAGGAAAGAGGACTTTTAGAACTGCTTCAGAAAGCGACAGGGGGGCTGGGGATTTAGCTCAGTGATGTCCGCCGCCTGCTGCGCAAACACAAGGACCCGAGTTCGATCCACTGTACCAAAAAAAAGCGACAGGGACCAGGGGGTTAGTGTGTTCGAAGCAAGGGTGGTGGGGATTTGAGAGGGAATTCAAGGCCATGTGTCTCTTACTCTAATAAATTTTTGAGATTTTTGTTTGTTTGTTTTGGTACTGGGGATCGAACTTGGGTCCTTGTGCTTGCACAGCAGGCAGCGAAACCACTGAGCTAAATCCCTGGCCCAACTCTAATAAATTTTTAAGAATTAAAAAACAAAACAAAACAGGGCTTTTGCCAATGAGAAACAGTACAATCTCATGTTGACTTTGAGTAACCTACTCTCTCCTGAAACTCAGCTTGCCCACACATAACTTTGTCACCCACACCTAAATCTGAGTTCCCCTGGTAAGCAGTACTACCAAACCACTAGCATCAGCCAGAAACTTGAGTGTTATTCTCAATATTCCCACCCCAATCAGGAGGTCCTCTTTATTCTCCCCAGCCCTGTGGAATTTGTCCCTTCTCTCCACCCCCACATTTCTTACCAGGCCACCTCAATGTTTCCGGGGCTCTGACCCACTCCTCATAACACAAATTGAGCTTGCTCCCATTTACAAATGCAATGGTGCTGATGCCCTGCTCAAGCCCTTTGCATGGCTCCCCAGTGCTCTTCCTCATTGCTTTAGCTCAGTTCCCAAAGATCCTGCCCAGTCCAGCTCTGTTGTGTTCTCAGCATCATCCCTTTGCCTCTTGCTGCCAAAATTTAGCCAGGCCAAACTACTTTCAATTCCTCTAATGCCTGGGCTCTCTTCCCTCAGAGGTGGCCTCCGCACACGCTGTTCTCTCTGCCTGGAATACACATCACTCTCTCCTCCTCTTTCCTTTTAACCAACTCAGTTTGCCTCCAGTTTCAGCCTTCACTGACAGGCCCATCTGGTCTGGCCTGGGAGCCCCCGTCTTGCCCAGTGAGCACACTCGCCTTGTATGTCCAGAACGCTGGCCTGTTGTGTCCAGCTCTGTGCCCTGGGGCTTACCTACACACAGTGGGTGCCCAAATAATACTTCTCAAGAGAATGGCTGACCTGCACAAATACTGCTGGAGAACCTGCTAGGTCAAGTATTGTGCTGAGCTCTGAGGCTACAGAACAAGAAGGCACCTAAGCCATGTATGGTGGCCAGGCACAAGAGGAGGATCGAAGCAAGTTTGAGGCCAGCCTGGGCAACACAGGGAGTTGACCTTATCGCCAAAAAAAAAAAAAAAAAAAAAGTCCTAGATCAGATTCCTGTTTACATGGTTAGGACAAAAATGACCTTCAAGAGAAGAAAATGTGGCCTGGGGCCGGGGATTTAGCTCAGTGGTTTCGCTGCCTGCTGCACAAGCGCAAGGACCCGAGTTCAATCCCCAGTACCAAAACAAACAAAAAAAGAAAATGTGGGCTGGGGGCGTGGCTCAGTGGTAGAGCACCTATATCACAGGTGTGACGCCCTGTGTTTGACACCTAACAGCACAAAGAGAAGGATGACAACCCAATGAACAAATAGACATATCTAAAGTGAGCTGGGTATGGTGGCTCACACCTGCAATCCCAACACTCTGGAAGGCTGAGGCAGGAGGATTGCAAGTTCACATCCTGTTTGGGCAATTTAGGGAGACTCTGTTTCAAAAGGTTGGGGGATGTAGCTCAGTGTGAAGGCTCTTGAGTTCAATTCCCAACACTGGAAGAAAAAAGTCATCTAAAGTAGTGATGGCCAGGGATTTAGCTCAGTGGTTTAGTTGGCTGCTGCTCAAGCTCAAGGACCCGAGTTTGATCCATGGTACCTAAAAAAAAAAAAAAAGAATATGAACTAAAGTAATGATTAGTAGGGGCTGGGGATTTAGCTCAGTGGTGCTACCACCTGCCTTGAAAGCAGAAGGACCAGAGTTTGATCCCCGGTGCCCCCCCCCCAAAAGTGATTAGTGCTACAAAGAAAGTGGTGTGTGGTGCTATGGATGGGGGGTGTCTAGGAGGACTTCTAAGGAGGTGAGGCTTGAGTTGAACCTAAGCAGTTGAGAGCTGGTCATGAACCTTTGGTCTATACAAAGGTATGAGGGGCTGGGAATTTAGCTCAGTGGCACCATGCCTGCCTCCAAGAGCAAGGTCCTGAGTTTGATCTCTGGTACCCAAAACACAAAACAAACACACAAAGGCATGAGAAGGAGGTAGTTAGCTCAGTGGTAGAGGACCTGCCTAGCATGTGTGAGCCCCTTGGTTCCATCCCCAGTACCACCAGAAAGAAAGACAGAAAGAAAGAAAAGGAAAGGAAAAAGGAAAAGGAAAAGAAAAGAGGGGGAAAGAAAAGAAAATCTTCCTGGTGTGGTGATGCACACCTGTAATCTCACCATTTGGGAGGCTGAGGCAGGAGGATCACTGCAAGTTCAAGGCCACCCTGGGCTACACAGTGAGCTCAAAGCCAGCCTGAACTACAAAGCAAGACCCTGTCAAAAAGAAAGAGAGACAGAGAGAAGACGAGAAGAGGGAAAGAAAGGAAGGAAGGAACTGAGATTGGAACAAAAGGATCATGCTAAGAGATGACTCAGAAAGACTGGTGAGGGCCAGAGCACTCAGGACTTTCTAGGCCAAGAGGAGGAGCTTATTTTAAGGATGGTGAGAATTCACTGGAAAGTGAGACAGGCCTCCTAATGACAACTAATTAAATACCTCCCATCTTTCAACTTGTTCCTGAGGATTTAATTAAAAGGATCCAGG